ACTTTTGTCCGCGTACATGAAGAAATTTTTCGCCGAAGACTTGTCACGGACTCAACGAACACGGTGTGCGGACATTTGTCCCCCGAAAAATTTGTAAGGCGCACGCTATGGAAGCAATATTCTGTGATAACATTGTATTGTAATAGACATGAAGTTTATGAAAAAGAGAAGTCGTTCTAAAAGAGAACACCGTGTCCAACGTTTTATGTCGGATTGATTATATATTTGTTTTGTTACGATTAATAATATTATGCTCTCACTATATCAATGTTTCACGATCTTTCTGAAAGATAATTAAATATTGTTTAAGTGTTAAGCGATCCAAAACATACGTACAACATACTTGATTAATAAAATATATAAATTTCATTAATTTTAAGTTTTTAATTCCAGACTTGTAATTAAAACAACCCTCCTCAGTTATTTTATAAATCCGTAAAGGTTACTTTATTTGCATTTCTGATGATGAAATCTAATTTTCATTTTTATATTTTCAATCTGAATTTTAAATCAATTTTAAATTTCGCAATTGTCCTTTCGGTCGTGAATTTTTTGATGTACATACAAAGGAGTTCTTTTCCACTTCTTTACCACGTAAATCACTATCGAGCGCCCACCGCGCGGCCGTGGACTAAAGTTCGCCGTGTGCGTTGACGCCTCTTGACATAAATGTTCAATTTTTTTTTGGACTCTCACATACTTTTGTCCTGTCCGGTCTCTCGGTATCCGCAGTAGTTCGGGGAACATTTTGTACGGTATTTTTAATCCGTAGTGTGCGGTACTACTCGCAGTTGTAAGCAATCTATTACGGCGCACACAAGGCCTCCGCGGACAAAAGTCCCTCGTCTGCGCTGACTTTTACTTTATTGAATCGATGGTTATTATACATTAGGGGTAAAGCAAAACTATGTGAAAACGGATGCATATAAGAGAGCCGTGTATGGTAAGTAATTAAACCCACCTGCAGAAAATGTTCCTAGGCTCATTCCGCCTGATCTTGTTAAAAATCTAAATGTAAAAATCGCAAGCAAATTTCTAATCTTTATTTAGTATCCATAGTGCAAGCTCTGCTTAATTTGGGGCTAAATAATTGGCGTAGGCTGTCCGGAATTCGTTATGGTTTGGCGTCCAAGTAGACTTGAATTTAGATTCTAAAAGCTCTGAGATCTATGCCCATAAATACATGGGCAGCATTTATTGTCAAACAAGGCAGGCGAGATACTTGGTGTTCACGTGATACGAATTTCAAGCAGATCAGTAACTGTAGAAAGTGATGGTTCTAAATCTTTTATCGCATACGTGACCAGATCTTGGAAGACATTCAGACCACATTAGGAGGAGCTAGTAAGCACTATACACCATGTTACAAAACATAGGCTTATTTGTTTTCGACGTCACGCCAAAGCCGGATTTTAATATATTTATATGAAATTCCGGCTTTGGCGTATATAATCAGCGTAGTGTTTTAGGACTACAATCTCAACACCACTCGTTTTTGGCTAGCTTCTTTTCAACATCATCATCAGCCTATAAATATGTCCCCATTGCTGGGGCACAGGCCTTCCCTATGGATGGAATAGTAAGATTGGGCCATGACCCACCACGCGGGCCCAGTGCGGATTGGCGGGTGCTAACAACTGCAGATTCAGCTTGGACCAAGGCTTTTTGGTCACCAATCCATCCAATGACCGACTACTGCAAAAGTTGCTTAATTTCAACGATCGCAGCCGAACGCGCTAACCACCCGCGCCATCGGGCTCCTCAAGTTTCTTTTATCAATTAGTAAATTGCACCCATGGCAAACCGACCCTCTAATTATAATAAAAAATGACAACTGAAGTTGATACTCTGCAAATTCAACTGTCGTATTTATAAACAGGTAAAAGTAATAAACCCGTCTGGTTAAGTAATTACTTGAGCAACATACATTTTCATTTCATACCTACTTAAGAAATGGATCAAAGTAAGAACTGTCAAAAATGAGATTTTTTTAGAAACCATTTTGGTTGTTAACTAACCATTTGTTTTATTGTAGAATTATAGTGATAAGTACTATAACTCGGTTACTTAGCAACAAAGTAGTTACTAAGAAACAAGTGATAACTTGTTTATAAATACGAGAGTTAGTTACTTAGCAATCATGAATTACTTGTTCATAAAATACGAGTGTTATTGTGTGTTGTGAAAAAAGGCTCTGTTGGTAAATTACCTAGAAATAGTAGAATGAAAGCTGATGAATAAGTAATTTCCTCGTTAATGAAATAAAACAAAGTTATGCTTACCTACACACTAAATTTTCAACAGAGTACTCTCAATTTTTAAACTCTAACAAGTACAAATAAATACCTTAATGAAATATATAGAAAAGTTGTATATATATACTGACTTCATTAAACTACAACAAAATATTGACTGCATAAATAATATTTTTCTAAAATTTTGTGCCAACTTAAAGTTATCAAAATGCAAAATCTATATTTATATGCATAAATTGAATTGAATTGAAAATTTGGGCTACTGGCATTTTTTATTCATATTTATTACTGCATCGTTACTATAATTCAATCAACTTTGATTTATATTCCATTTATATTAATGCATCGAGCCTAAAGATAGTTGAGTGTTACATAATTTCGGATACGTACCTACTAACCTAATCTTGTTTTTTATAATTGAACCGAGGAAATCCGTTTTCGATTCGATAGAAAGTTACCTTTGCATAAATGTATCAGTACATAGATCCTTTGAATTCCGTTTGCTTCACATAATTAACTTTTAGTTCCATATATTTATTATATATTTTATGTATCAATCTGAATATAGGATATAGATAAAGAATCCTACCTACTTTACAAAAAATATGAACAAAGTATTAATTTATTTTTATACCATTTAACTGCTGCCGTATGAGAACCTAAAGAATAGCATGAAAAAAAGAAAGGCATGCAGACGGCGCAAAAACATTTTAAGATCAGTAAATTGGTCGTATTATTAGCGTGACGGTTGAAAATAATAAGTATTAAATACCTAAGTAATATCTAATTGCCAAAATAAATAAGAAGCTATTTATTTATTACTTTATGATAAGAGCCGAACTTTATGTGACAAACTTCACTGTATATACATATATACCAGAATTTCAAATTTGAAAGTATGCTTGAAGCGGGATAGAATGTAATAATATCATGCGTACTCTATATCAATATAAAAAATCATTGAACCTGACTTTAGTTAGGTACATTATAAATTCAAATCTTCACAGAAAACCGTTTGAACGCACAAAAAGAAAAAAAAACAAGCGGCCCAAAAGTGTAGGAGAAGAGATCTAGTTTAATATATACTTCATTCCTGCAAATAAATCCTAGACAATCTACATTGGGCATTTGTTATATTTGAAAATCAATAGGGAATCTTTAGTGTATCTTGCCAGGATGCGTATTGAAGATTTTACACTGACGCATTATTATATCTTTCTATAGCTCTTGGTCTAGTAAGGGGCACATAATCTCCCTCCAAACAAACCAACAAACACGCATGCCATATTTCGGAATATATAAAGGAAGTAAGAACCATTCTCGTTCGTTATAAAAAAATAATAATTAATTATTGATTTAAATAAACATTAACACATTACCAATTAACAGTTGATATAAAATTAGATTCCTCCTGTGACTTACTATTCCACTTTAGAGATAGACGTAGTATAAGTAGTTTTCTGTTTTGTGAGACATAATAGTATTCATTTGATCGCTCAAGCGTAACAAACATCGCTACAGTCGGTTCAATATTACATACAATTTTTCTTTAATGGCAATACCGCATTGGACCTGCGACTATGGAAATTAAGTAACTTTCGTAATGGCCCGACATTGGATGGATGGCTTTAAATTCATCATCTTGAGCTGCTCCGTGCTTCAGAAGGATGGTTGAAGCTGCATATGTAGTATTCTGAAGTCTTTATCACCCACTAATCCTAAAGGCCTAGTTTCTATGTCGCAACATTTGGGTCAATAATATATTTCGCGTTCGCTACCCTTAGGGCGGTTGTTAAAGACTGGACTTCCGCCGGGTCTAGGCACGGTTCTTACCCAGGCTGATGACAGCTAAGCTTGTTTACGAGCACGGTTTGTACGTTGGTACCGACCCCAAACCATCACTAGCGCCAGTGTCATAAACAAACCTTCATAGTATCCCAAACTTAACTGACAGACGAGTAGACACGGTTTAAAACCGTGCCTGGACCTGGGTAAAAATCGTCTCGTTAACAAACGCACCTAACCTATTTATTACCAGTCCCTTTGTACCTTACTTACTGAGAGAAACGCAACACCACCAAAATGTAGTGTTTGTATTCTGTGTTCGTTGCTGTGTTGTTGTGAGATTACTTCCTCACTCGGATGCTCAAATATGAGCTCCTCTTAGCCTATACGCGATTGTTGAAACCTACAGTAAAAAATAGGATTTCGCGATCTTTCTTTTGCAAAAAATTAAAACCTATCAACAGACATTTTTGTATGTTGTTTGAAAGTGAAGTAATCGCAAATTAATATCGTTTAAGTCAATAGGTGGATATATAGACAGTAAAACATTTTTAACTTACAAGCTGGTGCACCTTTGATAATCTTCCTACTCCAAAAAAGATTTATTTTTCAATGTTATTATACACATTTTATTATATATTTTATCCTTTATGATTATTATAGTAAGAAGATATCGAAAGAAAAATATCCACAGCGTTCAGTTAAATGTAATTTAATTTAATACAGTTGCAAAGAGCGATCAGATATAACATTTTTGATAGATCGATTGTTCTCTTAAGTAACAACAGCTCAGCATTTTATTTGTAGGTATCTATTTAATAGGAACATTTGCAAAATTATAATGCACCAGTTTGATAGATAGACAACCTTCACATTGGTTACGTAAATTACGTCATGTACAGAATGCGGGGGGCTTACTGACATGTCGCCGCCCCAAGCGGCAACAAATTGATTCAATTCTCTCGCGTAACGTCTCTGGTATATATTGAGCTAATAACCTATGTTAATTCATCAGTTCTATCGCGGAAGTCGAAGAAGAAAGATCGAAATGTTAGCTAAAGTGCGTGATCTTTAAAATTCAAATAAAGTGGATTGTCGGTTTAGTTAGTTGAGTTGTGCTGATATTCCTTTGTTTTGTTACAGATCGTTATACTTGCTTTGGCCCTCGTGGCAGCCTATTGTGAGGAACATTCGTACTCTCTGAAAACACACATCCAGCATGAAGTGCCTGAGGCTTATAAGAGCCATTACGAGCGCATCCCAGTGAGATTGCACCAGGAAGCTAAGGAAGTGCAGTACCAGGCTCAGCCGGAACACCATGGAAATGCCTACTCATCTCAAAGCATTGTTCATCAGCAATACCAGCAGCAGCAACAACAACAAGAGTCGCATGAAGATTCTGGACACTCAGCTCCAGTTTACGAATATGTTCCTGCCCAAAGCCAAGAAGACTTGCATCAATATTCTGCTCCCCAGCACAAGGTCCAGGCCATACATTATGCCCCAGCTTCTCATCATCATGAGAGCCCAGTTCATGTACCAGTTGTACATAAAGTCCAATCTCATCAACCATCGCACGAATCATTAAGTCATCATCAACAGGCCCCGGTCTATCATCATCAGTTGGAAGCTCACTCCCATCCGTCTGAGGATGAACCTGTTGATTACTATGTAAGTAACCAAGTTTATAAAACGATAAATTTGTTAGAATGCCGGATTTCCAATTCAATGCGCTTTCTATTTATTCTAAACACTGTAATTGTTCATTGTAATCACGTACGCGTTTGCTTTAGAATATCACTGCTATGTAAATTTTCCTAATCTACTTTTACTTTCATAGGCTCACCCTAAGTACCAGTATGAGTATAATGTGGAAGACCCGCATACCGGTGACAATAAGTATCAACATGAGTTCCGTGATGGAGACGTTGTGAGGGGTGTCTACTCTTTGCACGAGGCTGATGGTTCCATCAGGACTGTTGAATACACTTCTGATAAACACAACGGGTAAATATTTTTAAAACTTGTAACTTGTTTTACGGAACCGGATACAGGAATCCACTTCCTTACTAATCTATTTATTTTATATAAAAGATATTAATTAAATCTTTACTTGCAGATTTAATGCGGTAGTGAAGCATACTGCCCCTGGCCAGCATGTGCAGATTGAGAGCCACCATCATAATTAATTTTCCTTGTTGAAGACTGAACTGTTGTTGTTCCGTTTTTGTTGTTACTAAATGTGTACTAATTATTAAATTATTTCTTCGCTTATACATATAGCTGTGTTTTAATTTTTAACCTCCAAATGAAAAAGTTCTTTATAACTTTAGTAAGAGAGTTTAAGCGATTAATCGTTCCCAATATGATTTTAAGACAGTTAAAAATATCACAAGTTAACTAGTTTTGTTAAGTTCGCCTAACAGCTTTTAATAGCCTAATGCTGACTGTACATTGTAATAAATTAAATACTCGGAATTAAAAGATTGGAAAGTACAATAAAGTTACTTATATAAGCGATCTAAAAGGCATCAGAAGGTGTAACGTAGATCAAAATCTTTAGAATTCACTACACGTTCTGATTAAGGCGTTCATAGTTTAAAAATATTCGTAATATCTTTTAATTCATTCGTAACTTGACTGACAGTGCTATGTTGAAATCTATGTCAGTCCTAATTGTTTTCTTTTTCTTGATCAAATGAAATATACCCGTAGCCGGTTATTTAATTGAATTATTATAGGTCTTTATGTGATTTCATACTCATTATAAATATTAAAAAAATAGGTTAAAATAAAAATAAAAAGACGACTCTATTATAACGAAGCAAGAAAATCTAACATGAATCGCATTTCCATTTGATAGGGGTTTATTTGGGTTGTTCTTGAATAAATTAGGCAATACTTCTTGCCTAATTTCATGATTCTTATTGAAAAGAGAGAAGTTGACAAAATATGCAGTATAATCTTTTGACTTTGTTGACATAAAAGTTTTTTGCTCCAATTTTATTTATTTTACCATAACTTCACGTGTTTCTAAGAATAAGACTCTTGAGATATAAATAGGCAAAAGAGACATCCTAAAAATATGTTTTCTCATTTTATAAAGGAAATTACTAAAATTAAACAAATCAAATTAAATGAATGTTAAAATATTTATTTAAAATATCAGTCACAAAAACCGAAGTCTTTGCTTAGCACCCCGTAGGCGTTGAGTCTAACGTTTCATAAAATGTATTTTCGAGTAAGTAAAGAATTAAGGAAAACCTTACACACTAGAAGAAAATATAATACAAAAGTTTGAACTAAAATGAGATGCTAATGATGTATGAATGAGCGAAGTAGTCTAACTTTGGGCCATGTAGTCCCTGGATACAGATTATGAAACGCCGAGCCTTAACGACCGCGATCCGGCTCATAGGACCACGTGTCGTTCCGTTTCGTTGTCGCATTCCGTCCGAGTCCTCTAATACTTAGGTAATTAATGGGTTATAAATAAATAGTCGTCGTTGAGGAGATACATAATTATGTTTAAGAATGGTTTATCCCAGAAGATGACCGTGCCCGTAAGCAGGCGCGGCGACTACGGGGGCAACAGCCGGATGCGCAGCATGACCTTGCCTGCTCACAACGGCGTTGAACCTGTAATTTAATATAATATGATGACTTCGAAAGACTTCAACATACGGGACGAATTAACCCGGAAGAAGGATCTGCTTCATTTGCGACTTGAAAATAATTGGATTTTAGTTAAAACTGTGACAGTTTTTTGGTGTAATGATTATCTTTTGACTTTCGAGAGCGGCCTATTAGCTCGAGTTCGAAGAATGCCTTCTAGAAGTATCCTTTTCCTACAGACTCCGTAGTTAAGTAACACTTTATGTGGTGCTGATCTTCAAGTAACAGAGGTTGCCAGTTCTTAAAAAAAGGGGGCAGAATCACTAACTGGCATGTCTGATAGCCACTTAATATCTACACGTGGAAAGTGAGAGTGATGAAGAGCAAAATAGAAATGACCCATTACTCACCTGGGAATAAACTGGGATATAACTCATTTGTTTACAAAACAGGAGGAGGTGGTTAAGTCGTCAAGTATATAATTATTTTTAGTTACCCATTGTGGTCGTCAGCAGAATAGTTGACAGTGCGGATGGTGCCATCGGGTTCCACAAGGGAGTACTGTCCCTTCACTACGTCACCGTCGCGGCTTTCCCATTGGCTCTTCTGGTCACCGGTGTGGCCATCAGTGACTCCGTAGTTGAAGGTGTAGCGAGGGTGCGCCTATTTTACAATTAAAAACAAAATTCTCATTATGTACCGGAGCGGAGGAAGAGTTTTAGAATAATCCTACTAATGTTACAAATGTGAAAGAACATTTGGCTTATTTTAAGTTTGAACATTATCAAGATTGTTTCGGTAAAGAGTTTATAATAATATATCCTTTGATAATGATTCGTCGTAGTATCAAAATCATGGTAGAACGTGTAATTTATTTTTATTAGTTTTATAATATAAATTAATAGCTTTCTACATTCCTCCGTATACCTACCTAAGTTTCAATTAAGTACAAATCTCACAATTCGTATCTAAACGTTTTTTATAACCACCACCCTGAAACATAGTGCGCACGCGCGCGCATGTCATGCGAACTTTTTCGGTAATATTATTTCCTCGCGTACTAATATAACATTTTTAGAGGTGTCTTGACTTACATAAACTTCTACAGGGGCAGCATGTGCGTACGAGGCGATAGGGGCACGGTACACAGGGGCGGCGGCGTGCGCGACTACTGCACCGTGACCTGTTACCAAATTATAATTATTAATATAAGTACAGTATATTGTATACATATTTTATATTTTGTATACGGGGATACATGACAAAGGGAACTTATTAATAAGCGTGTGACGTGTTCAATTCTAAGTATATTATGTTCTAAGTTTAATGAGATAATCATATTAATAATAACGAATGTTTTGGTTCATAAACTGTAAATAGAACATAATAAGTTAAAAAATAACAACTAAGCCTTCACTGTCTAACTGTCTGTCCCAGCACAAAGCTTAGTTTTTTAACTGATATAGGTAGACATCTAAAATTTTCACAAATTGCATGATTTGTTCTATCTAGTTTGAAATTTTGTACTATGGTACTAAATCCTTCGTTTCTGCATCTGACTTGCATTTTTATATCCACTTCTATGTTAACCGAGAAGCCGAAGCATAAAGTGAGTTAGCTGCTAACTATCCCTTTAGAATACAGTGCACTAGAACTAGCTCGTGTATAATTTTAAGCGGCAGGCTAAGAACTCTTGGCGCTTTTGCTCCCCAATTTATTTTGCTCCCGCACCCGCCGCGGCTTCGGGACTTCAACTCACATAAAAAGCGAAAACAAAATCCAAAAAAAATACCAAAGCCAAAATGATGTCATTATTTGACAGTGACAATTAAATGTCAAAGCGAATCCAGAGGCCCAAGCGCGAATTTTTGACAGCTTCGTAACATAATTATGTAAACAGCTCAATGAAGAACGGATATTCGATTATTTATTTATAGACTTTATACCACTGTAATCTGTTTCTACCGAGCAGTCTTTCTCGTGTCTCTCTCACTACGGGACATTGGCGAAATTTCTGTGTAAAACGGAGAAAGCCACAGACATAAAAAAAAATGTATTCCTACGTCCGATAGAGGCGCTGCTTAATTTTCATAGAAACTTTGGCGATACAATACGTTACTGATGTCGAAAAATCGTGCTGGGGCCTCAGTTAAAGTTTAATAAAATTTAACTTTAACTATTGGTCTGTGATGCAACTAACTGAATAAGTTCGGCGTGAAACACTGTATATATCTCAAATCACACTTTCTATAAAGTATTTTTTCGTTGTATTTACCAATGCCGTAGCCTCCGTAACCTGGAGCAGCGTAGCCTCCGTAACCTGGTGCCGCGTAGCCTCCGTAACCTGGAGTGCCCAGAACGATGCTTTGCGACGATAAAGCTCCGTGCGGAGACGCGATCAACCCTCCACGGGCCAAGCTCACCAGGCCGCAAGCCAGCATCAACTGAGGAAATTAATTGGGTTTAAGTTAGGTTACCTTTAAGTAGATTTTTGAAGTGAAAACTTATTTAGCGGCGTTGTGCACCTTTTTTTGTATGGGTAAAATTTGTTAAACTCGCGTCAGGACACGTGACCTAATCGAAAATTCGTAAGACGAAAACAATAAAATTGGAAAAGTTGTTGACTTTCAATATATAGGACGAAACATAGTAATATTTTATTTTATCGTATTATAATAATAAGTCTCTATCAAGGACATTCAGGTTGCAGCTTTATTGAGAATAAAATGTATTTTTTTTACAATAGATATCGCTAGGTGCGCTTAAATGTGATTCATGTAAGTTGATTTTTCTGATAGATAAACTTTTTAATATAAATTATCATGTTTGTGTACGATAGCGCAATGAAGAAATATTGTATTCTACCATATAAATGATAGTACTTTTATACTGATAATTAAAGCAATTCGTGCAAAATTATTCCATAACCATTCCAAAATATCAAAAATGCACAACGTTAATATTCAAGTTTTCACTTCTGCCGGCAATCCCGGAGTGCAACTCGTCTTTTTTTTTATAAGGGTGCTCACTGGGTAATGTTAACAAAACTTTATTTAGTCCTTCAATTACATTTTCAAAAAAAATGTACACATATTTTTTCTTTTGTTAATCCATAAAAGAAATACAGAGATATAGCGCGTCAAATTGGGGTAGGAGCTTGTGACGACACTTCTAAGTAAAAATTTTACCAAGGCATTACGTCATGCGACATTTAAATAAATTTGTCTTTGAAACGGTTTGTTTATGTGGAACAATAAAAAATAAATGGTCTGTACTTTTTGATAAAGTACCTGATAGAAGGAAAAAAAAGTCATCATCTCTATTACACAAAAAAATATTCACAACTATGAGCAATAGCATGCAGCCCAAATTATGATGGACTGGCGTCTGAAATAGGTTTCAGACGAGAACCTTGTATATCAGGCCCCACCCTCAGACAGTGCGGAAGCGCAAGTTACAATTTACAAGTTTAGTTCAATGCAGCTATTGACGAACAAATCTTTTTGTATGCCTGTTTTTATGTCATAAAAAATTGAGTATTCATAATTTAAAAAACAAAGTTTAAGTACTTTTGCAAATAAATGGTGCATTATATCCCTTAAAAAAGTTTTAGGTTTTATCATTTAGTTTATTTAAAAGTTTCGTATTTGGGTGTTTGTATCTATTGCTTTTGTTGGTTCTGGTAACAGCACGAGCTATTCCTACTAAAGAATCTAAGCAATGCTAAGTCATGTCTTGTTTAACATTTATATTATTAAAATTAAGATTAATAAAAAATATCTTAAATAAAGCCTTATAAGTAATATACCTAGCTTTATATGTAACACCAAAACAACCCTAAGTACGTAAATGTAAATTTAAAAAATACTTTATTGAGAAACCCATAAAATACCTACGGCAGCACAAAACAAATCTCATACCCCTAAATATTATGTTTAATTACAAAAAATACTGAAAAATGAAATTTCAACAAGGTTTTACACAAAAGTTATCTATTAAGTTTAGGTCACGATCAAAATATTATTACGTCACTTAGGTTATCACGATTTGTCACTAAAATATCACTTTACCTTGACGAACATATTTCTATTGTTTTTTTCTAATGCAACGCAAGTAGTCCACTCTAAGCACTAGGGCTTGCTGTGTGCCAAATTACGAGATATCTGGTGCTTATATAGAGACCTAATGTCCTATAGGTACTAAGTCCTTAGTCGTATAGGTAGGAAACATAGGTATATGCAAGTAACTATATCCACCGGGCGGTGCCTAGAATGAACTAGATCATAAGATTAGTATGGATACGAATGAACATAATGAAAATAAACCGACTTGGGGTTTATTTTGTTCATTTCCAGAAATGGTATTATCGATGATAGAAATAGTTTTACAATAATAATGTCAGATTTCAGTAAACTTAATTTATATTAATATTTAAGTAATTATGTTACATGAATGGTTTACGGGGTATCAATTAGTGAAATTAATGATGTTCTTTAAGCATTAAAATGTTTAAAACTGAAGAATATTTTTCGAGTCTCATCTAATGCCTGTTCCATGTTAAAAATTTGTAGAAAAAAATCTCTTTAAATATTTTTTTAAGGACACGCATATATAAACATTGTTATATCTATAAAAGGGGTGGGTATGTTATTGAATTTTAAATTATTATGATTGCATAAAATAAGAAATTTATTTTTATCTGATAAAAAAGTATAGCAATTTGGATATGAATATCTCTAAATATTTAAAAAAAAAAAACGAAAATTATATTTGAACTTCATACCCATAGCCGAAAATCCTTTTGAGATGCCTAATTTGAAGTTAGTAAATTAATGATAAAAAGAAGGAGCTAATTAAATAAACTAAGCCATTCCTCACAAATCCAACGTAAACCCAATATCAAATCAAACCAAGAATTTCTAGCAAAATTGTGCCTTAAGTTGTTTGATCTAACAGCATACATTAAAGTATTGACAAATTATTATTTTGTACATTGTCCCATGTCTTATTTGGTTATATGTCAATTCTTTCAGCATAATTTCTAGATAGACTATCATCTTTATTTCATTTAAGAAAATAATAAGTGTTCTTACATACATGTAATTTCTAATACAGTTACATAACACAATTTGTTTCTAAAGTAATTAACTTTAAAAGATTACTGTTTATAAAATTCATCTTTATTATAAAACTGAAGAGTTTGGTTAAACGCGCTAATCTCTGGAGTTGCTGGTTTGTATTTAAATATTGTTTTTTGTAGAAAAACCATTCAAATAAACTTATTTGTCGTGGTAGTTTATGGGCTATTTATGGCATCATCATCATCATCATCAGCCTATTAATGTCCGATGGAATGGATGGAATAGGGAGATTAGGCCATGACCCACCACGCGAGCTCAGTGCGGATTGGTGGGTGCTAACGACTGCAGATGCAACTGGGACCAACGGTTTAACGTGCCTTCCGAAGCACGGAGGAGCTCGAGACAGTAAATTTTTTATCACCCATCCAATGACCGACCACTGCGAAAGTTGCTTAACTTCAACGATCGCAGCGGAACGCGCTAACCACTTGCGCCATCGAGCTCCTCACACTACTTTAGATAAATAGCAGCAAAAGCTTCAACGATCTTCAATGATAAACCGGAAAAATTCCCTTTTCATATGTTTCGTTGCATATGCTGAAAATCATAATGGAATTGTTCCCATATAAAAGTTATTGGAAACAAACGACGACAGCATAATATGGCTATTTTTTAGATTCACATACTGCAACTTTTTTATGGTATCAAATTAGCTTTTATTTATTGAGGTTCTTATCTTAATGCGTCTAAAATGGCGGGGTACAGCCAGTTAATTATAAAAAATGTGATTCTTCTTCTTAATGCAACTACAACCAAAGGGCACAGCTAGTCAATCATAAAATTTTTGTTCCGAACCTCAGACTGAATCCACCAGCATCTTAGGATTCCCAATAGCATTATCGATCGGCGAGTAATCCTTTACCAAATAAGCTAAATTTATATTATATTTTATATTAAAGCATTTAACTGCTAGATGTTTAAATATAAAGACAATATTACTAGAAAAAAAACCATTCGGTTCAGGTTTCAGACGGGATTCCAACCCACAACTTCCGCTATCCAGGCGGATACACTAATCTACAATTAATCTAAAATTGTTATTTCGTCTTTCATATGTTTAACAATTGAAAAGAAATTTTGTCTGACACAATGCAAGGAAATGGCGCTGCTTTACAGCCTCAGAAATACTATAGTAAATTTGACACGGCCATTAAGTAGTATAGGTAGTATAATATAGTCTCGGTAGTATAATTAGTAATGCATCCGCCCAGATAGCGAAACGTGCGGGTTTAAATCCCGTCTGAAACCTGTCCCCGTAGCATGAGGACCTCAATTTACGTTATATCACGTTTTTTATCGCGTCTAATTGTCAAACTCCATAGTAATTTGACACTTGAGCGTGATAAGAACGATAAATATATATACGTCATATCGCGGTCCTCATGCTAGGCGGGCTGGACCGAGTAGATTTTTTTTTAGTAATATTTTGCTAAGCTAAAATGCAATTATACAGCGCCGTGTGTATTTTAATTGTTCAGTAAGGTATAAGTGGCTGCTGTTATTTTCTTGGAAATAGTACGTCGTGTCGAAATGAAGCATTTTATTAAAATGACAGTCAAAGTGTTACCGTAAACGCGTTTTGTGAACCGAATGATAGTTCGATCTTATTATAACTATTTTAAGCTAGTGTCACCTACGATCACTACTTCGATTCTTAGTGGGGTCACTATAGAAAACGAAGATTTTCACGATGTTGTTTTAATTTAAGTAGGCATTTCAATCAATTTCAAACTTAGCTTTAGAATGTACCATTGACCATATTTTTTTGATGTGTAACATCTTTCCTCTCGCTTTCCTGCAATTTGTGGGAGTGATTTCGTGAAATGGGACGGAAGTGTGTAGCAGGATGTCGCGAAAGCGCGCGCTATTTGATTTGATTTTAGAACATAATGTTCAAATGGCTTATTCTTTTTCTAGTAGGATTTATTATTTATTTTTTTACTAATATAAGGCGCCTAGAATAAAATAAAAAACGGCTTGGGCACCATTTTATTTTTTTTATTTTTTATTTCGTTCGATAATTTATCATGTCTACCGCGTAAGATATCGTCTGGTTTTGGATGACTCATCTGACTGGTGTCAATGCACCGCTCGCCGAGACGTGTCTATCTTTATTTAGTGAAACAGGTTTCAGCGTCCAGTTTCATTTGAATTGTCATTTCATTATTAGGTGACGTATGACCGTGTTTTGTCTCGTAGCTCCTTGTCCCCAAGTTTTCTTATAAAGGTTTACTATGCATCGAGTAACACTCAATTTAGCTAAACTATTTTGGTGGGTACATAAATATCTACAAAATATGATTTAATAAAA